GGTGCCAAACATTGTCTACAACAATCAGGTACCTATTATTTTTCAAGAAGGATTTAATTACTTCTCTGAGCTGATCATAGCTCATAGTGTCAATCCCTTCCGGAACTGGTCTAAAGAGTTGCTGAACAATGCTTCTTGGGAACTCCTCCTTCCTCCATGGTTGGGAAATGGTAATGAAGGCACGTACTTTGAAATGCTTCTTGACGCGGACATCATCATATACTTGCTTTGCCAGTGTGGTTTTTCCCGACCCTCCCATTCCAACTATAGAAATCACCTTCCGTTTAGAATTGCCCCCAGCAAGCCACCCGATTAATTGCTCCTTTGGCTCATCAATGCCCACCAAATAAGTGCGGTCTAGAAGAAGGGCATCGCCTGCAGTACTAGAGCTTGAGCCTTGCATGGATGTACTGAGGTTGCCATGGTGATTCGGATGCCAAGTTGATATTCTTGTGATTCTGGCTCTGATTTTCTGTAATTCAACAACGATCTGATGGCGACCTTCAAGTTCCTTGATGCTGCCGCAGAGGTTACAAAAGAAAGCACAAATTGGGCACTCGTTTGGAGCAGGAGCTTGGAGCCTGAATTCGTCAATGACATCTTCAGTGTCATGGGCGATCTCTCTGACTTGCCTGACCCATTCTTTGAGCTCGTGATCGTTCTCTTCCACAAGCTCCACAGCTCTCACGGATGCTTTCATTATCTGCAAGTCATCCATGATGCTCTCAATCTCTTCTGAAATCATTTGCGGAAGTTGGAACTCATTCTTCAAACTCTGGACCTCATTTTGCAGGAAAGAAGCTAGCGTTTCAAGGAGAAAGGATACTGCAATCTCAGCCATCTTCTCTTGTCACTTTCAGAACAATTTAACAGCCTGTAAGCCTTTGGAATTGAGAGGAATGAATAAAGAACTAATCAAGGTAATTTTCCTGGGTTTCAGAAGCAGTAGTTAATAGGGCATTTATACTATGCCCTCTTGTTTATTTCCTGCAGTGTGCGGAGAACGTCTTGTGTCGCTGGTATCTATGTTTGTGGGACTATTCTTCATGCACAAAGTTTTCGATTTCTAAACCATGCCTTCAGTCGAGCCGGAAACCATGTTGATTTAGTCTGTCTAAATCTCAAGAATTCAATTGTTGATAGCCCGTGTATTCTAATTCAACTGTTTTTCAGAAACCCACAAGTTTCGAGATCTTCTGATGCCAAGGGATAATTCTGTATTATGCCAGGAACTTGATCCTACAGTTTAACACATTTCCCACAGTGTTTGCTTAACCTGGTCAATAGGATTGCTGGCTGCATGACCATACTGGAAAAAGAGTCGTCCTGGGGCAAACATCTATAAAAGTTCAATTTTTAAAAATCTTCATTTATAAATAAGGGAAATAAATAAGATTATATGAACACAGGCTGGAAGAATATACACCAGTTGAGATAACAAGGGAATTGAAGGCCTCGAAGTTTCTTGGAAAATGTCTCATGGGATAAGAGATTGATCCTCATGTTCAAGTTTGAATCAATTGTCATATGATGTGTCATCAAGATGATTTTCTGGCATAACAAACATAAAACAGCCACCAAATAGCCGTGGATAGAAAACTTAAAAAAACAGGAGCAGGTTAGAGAGACTTTCAAACTCAATACAGATTACAGGACCACAACTAATCAAACTTATTGCAGGGGACAAGATGACGACATTAATATGCTTTGACCCAAATTGCAAAACCAGTATCTTCAAGAATGATGAATGTACTAGGACACAGCATGATTTAAGTAGCCCTCCCCGCACCAGCAAGGCAGATACCCATCAAATCAGGAATCCACGATGACTGATTTGGATTCTTCTCTTTGAACTTGAAATTATGTAAAGCATTTCAAATGCAAATACTATCACTAGTTTCAATTATTCATGTATCAGTGAAACAGTGGAAATCAAATAAAAGATTTGGCATAATTTTATTTTGTTAAAGTTCAAGAAAAAAATACAGCATATGGAATGGGGACGGGAAAATTTTGCAAAACATCTGCACAATTATGGACAGATAGATAGATGGAGATTCAGTACTAACTGCTGATATCTGTAAAAATACAAGAGTTGATAAATAAGAAAAAAAAAAACACAATGAAAAGGCCGTTTACCGATTTCTATAATTAACTGTATATGTTTTCCTACGAGCTTTCTGAGATTTTGGGATCTCATTGGTCTGCTTTCATCATCGAGCCGTTTACCGATTTGTATAATTAATTGCATATGTTTTCCTGCGAGCTTTCTGAGATGTTGGGATCTCATTGGTCTGCTTTCATCATCGAGCCGCTTACCGATTTCTATAATTAATTGTATATGTTTTCCTGCGAGCTTTCTGAGATTTTGGGATCTCGTTGGTCTACTTTCATCATCGAGCCGTTAACCGATTTGTATAGTTAATTGTATATGTTTTCCTGCGAACTTTATGAGATTTTGGGATCTCATTGGTCTGCTTTCATCATCGAGCCGTTTACCGATTTGTATAGTTAATTGCATATGTTTTCCTGAGAGCTTTCTGAGATTTTAGGATCTCATTGGTCTGCTTTCATCATCGAGCCGTATACCGATTTCTATAATTAATTGTATATGTTTTCCTGCGAGCTTTCTGAGATTCTGGGATCTCATTGGTCAGCTTTCATCATCAGAGTTGTCAAATGTGATTTTTTGAGCCTTTGGAGCATCTGCAGAGATTTCTCTGAAATGGGACTGTAAGATCAGTTAAGAAAACTGATTTAAACCAACATAAAACTCAAGAAAAAAATCTTGAGAAACATGTGAAAGATAAAGGAAATGACATAAACTGAGCTGGAGATGATGCTCAGATTTTTCCCATTGATTTCCATAGGTATTACATCAGTCTCTAGTATATTCTTGTATATAGAACATTATCAGCACATTATAATGTTCACCTATAATTAAATAATAATATTAACCCCATGAAGCAAAGGCATAGTGCTGCATATAATTAATGCCAGTCTACATTTTTAAATGAACATTTAACATTAAAGATACCTAAAAATTACATTGAAAAATCAACAAAGAAACTTCTCAGCAACTTAACTTAACCTGAATGGGACATGAACAGTGCATGTGAACACTAACTGACTGCACTATTTCATTGACCCTCAACACTTCTCCTTGAGAGGTTTCTTTGTTAACCCAAGCATGGACCTTAGAGTTTCAAATCTAGATTTTGGCAAGGATTTAGTGATATCAGCAGCTTGAACTTTAAATTCATAGTGTAGAAGCTTAATTTCCTTCTCCTTAACATATTGCTTGATCATATGGTATTTCACATGAATATGTTTTGTTCTTCCATGTTGTATTGGATTTTCAACAATCGCAATGGTTGATTTGTTGTCAATTTGGATCACACATGGTAGAACTCAAGGTTTTTCCATGTCATTCAGTATTTTCCTCAACCATATAGCATGATTTAAGGCAGGTCTGCCAGCAATATATTCTACTTCTATTGTAGATTGTTCTATCGGTTCCTGCTTAGATGAATTCCAACAAAACATCCCTAAACCAAATGAGAAACATAACTTGTAGTACTCTTTGAGTCATTAGGACATCATGTCTGATCACTATCCACATAGCCTTGCAAGGAACCATCACTTGTAGACTTATATATAATTCCATAATCAACAATTCCATTTACATATCTCAAGACTCTTTAACAGCACTAAAATGAGTTTGAGATGGCGAAGTCATATACCTTAATAGCAGATTGGTAGCAAACATAAGATCAGGCATTGTTGCTGTAAGATAGAGCAAACTCCCAACCAAACTTCTGTAAATTGAAGCATTACACTTCAAGCTGTCATCATACTTAGACAATTTCAAATTCTGTGCAAGAGGAGTGACAATTGGCTTGCATTTGTCCATTTTTAACTTCCTAAGAATGTCCTTGGCATATTTTTCTCGTGAAACAAAGATTCCATTGTTACATTGCATCACTTCCATTCTCAGAAAGTATTTCATCTCTCCCAAATCTATCATTTCAAATTCATTTTGCGTGGAAACCTTGAATTGTTGGAGTTCAGTGTCTCCTCCAGTCACCAAAAGATCATCAACATAGAGAGAGACCAGCAATTGAGAATTAAGATTTCCACCCTTAGCATAAAGAGTGAATTCAGTTTCACTTCTTTGCAATCCTTGTTCTATTAAGTAGGAATCAATCATGCTATCCCAAGCTTGAAGGGCTTATTTCCAGCTATAGAGAGCTTTATGCAGCTTGTAAACATGATCTTCACAGCCTTGAACCAAAAAACCTTCCGGTTATTCAACATATAACTCTTCTTCTAAAGTTCCATTTAAAAAGGTAGATTTGATATCTAAATGATAAACCTTCCATTTCTTTTGAGCAATTAAGGCCAAGAGAAGCCTTATAGTATCATGCCAGGCTACTAGAGAAAATGTTTCTCCAAAATCAACTCTAGGCTATTATGCATAACCTTTTACCACAAGCCTAGCCTTATATTTGTTAAAAGAACCATCAGCATTTAACTTTGATCTGTACACCCACCTAACTCCTATAGCATTTTTGTCTTTTAGCCTAGGAGTAAGTGACTAGGTACCCATTTTTTCAACTACAATAAGCTCCTCTTACATTGCATTTCTCCATTCTTCATGCTTGGATGCTTTGCATAATTAGATGGCTCATCTGCTGCAAAACTACACTACTCATAAATTTCCTCTAAGGACTTTGTTTTCAAGATAGGAGAATGATCATTTGTATTAGCAATTCTCCCATTTAAATTTGAATTAACAATTTTGGTTCCATCAACATCATCCTTCTTCAAAACAAAACCATGTTTTTAATTTTTTGCTGCTCAAAGTTCCAATAGGCATCTTCATCAAATTTAATGTCCCTATCAACATCCACCTTCTTAAAGTGCATATCATACATCCTATAACCTTTGGACTAAGTCGCATAGCCCACAAAGATGCCAACATTTGCTTTTTGGTCTAGTTTGGTTCTTTTTACATTTGGAACATAAGTGTAACACACTGAACCAAACACTTTAAGATGGTTGGTAAAAGGTTTGATGCCATACCATGCTTCTACGGGAGTTTTTCCTTTAACAGCCTTTGTAGGAAGAGAATCCAGTAAATAAATAGCTGTATAAACAGCCTCGACCCAAAATGATTTAGGTAACTTTTTCTCATGCAACATGCACCAAGCCATCTCCACTATAGTCCTATTCTTCCTTTTTGGGACACATTCTGCTGAGGAGAATAAGGAACTGTCAGTTGGTGCCCAATGCCAGCATCTTCACAAAAGTTGTTAAATTTAGAAGAGGTGTACTCTTTGCCATTATCAGACCTCAAGGTCTTGATTTTGCAACCACTCTGGATTTCAACTAAAGCTTTGAACTTTTTGAACATTGAGAAAACCTAATTTTTGTTGCTCAGAAAATATACCTAAGTCATCCTCGTAAAATCATCAATAAACAAAATGAAATACTTGTTGGTGCTGAGTGACTCTATTTTCATAAGTCCACATATGTTAGTATGAATGAGTTCAAGCTTTTCAATGGCTCTCCATGCTTAATTTATTGGAAAAGCTTGTCTATGTAGCTTTCCAAGTTGACAAGCTTCACACACATCATCACTCAAATTGATGCTAGGTAGATCTCTAACCAACTCATTTGTTTGCAAGAATTTAAGAGATTTCAAATTGAAATAACCATATCTCTTGTGCCACAACCATGTATCATCACATTTACCAGCATATGAGCAAGATTGAATTAAATTCCAATTCACAAGAAAGCTGTTGTCAATCATCTGGACTCTAACAACTTTAGAACCATTTGGGTCATGTATAATGCAAGTATCATGTTTGAATTGTATACCATAGCCTTTTTTCATCATTTGAGCTACTAACAATAAATTCTAACTCAAAGAAGGAACATAAGAACATTTGAAATCAGTTTTGTACCTAAAAAAGCTTGTATAGCAATTGTTCCTTTCCCTTGTGCCTACACCATTGAACCATTGCCTAGCTTGATTTTTATCTTCATGGACTTGTCAATCTCTGTGAAGTAATCTTCATTTTTGGCCAAGTGACTAGTATAGCCATTGTCCACATACCAGAAATCTTTTGAGGAGATATAACTCCTTTGAACAATCAAGAACAAGTGATCTTCACCTTGTTGATCATTTGAGTAGTTTGCTTGTTGTGATTGTTTTAGTCTGTACTAGCCCTTCTTTACCTTACAAGACTTCTTTTTGTGACCAAACTTTTGACATGCATGGCACTGCACTTGTTGCTTCCCCTTATACCAACAATTTTTTGCCTCATGATTAATTCTTTTACAATAGAAGCATGCTGGAAAACTATCGTTCCTGATATGCTAAACTGGTTGAGTTTGTGTTTTAACCAAATTCCCTTTGTCAAAGCTGTCATAAGAGGGCTTAGAATCTGAACTTGTAACTACCTGCTTTTCTTTTTGTCTTGCTTGGAATGCATCTTTGGTTGTAGCAACTTGACCTTTTAGAGTCAATCTTTGTTCATGAGCTTCTAACTTGTTGATGAGCTCATTAACAATCATTGTATCGAAATCACAAGTTTCTTCAGTGGCTAAAATCTTGGACTCAAACTTGTTTGGAACACTCACCATGATCTTTTCAACAACCCTCTTGTTTGGAAACTCACCACCATTTGCCCTGATTCAGTTCACCAAGTCTTGTAGCTTGGTTGAATATTGGTGAATGATTTCATCTTCTAACATTCTCAGCATCCCAATTTGTCTCTTTAGTGTTATAACATTGTTACCTTTCACTCTTGTATCACCTTCAAACTCATTTTTTAAAGTATCCATGGCTTCCTTTGCTGTTTTTGCACCCATGATCCTTGGAAAAAGTGAATCTACAACACTACTATGGATGCATGAGAGTGCCTAGTAAGCCTTTTCTACATACTCTGAATGATTCTTCAATTGAGCCATAATAGGATTGTTAGGAAGCTGAGGAAGATGCAAGCCATTCTCCATTGAATCTGTCACGCCCCAGAACCCAAATCCGGGGACGTGGCAGACGCCGTGCACTTGTGAGGGGATCCCACAAATGCACAAGGCTCGGAACTTACTAAGTTCATACCTAGCAATTCAGGTAATTCAGATCTAAGCCTTTTTAATTACCAAATATTTACCAGTCAGATGAACAAGATTTATCATTTCATATATACAGTCATGACTAGCACTAAATTCTGTACACAAAATTTTCTATGTCAAGCATGGGTGACTAA